ACGGACGGACGGACAGACAGTCACCGCTTAATCGATTTCTCTTTTCATTCTGATCATTTATGTATACATTTGTCTATATCTATCTCGATTCGTTTTGCCTGTTACAAACAACCGTTATGTGAACAAAGTTATAATACCCTTGTGCACAAGTGCGCTCGGGTATAAAAATATTATTCTGACGGCCAACGGTATTGTAGTTCTATTTCTGCTATAAAAAGGCTTCTACTTAAACCATTTTCCATTCGCAGGTGTCTCAAAAAACTCTAAGCCACTCTAGTGTGTGCCAACAGCAAGGCGCATATCAAAAATGAGAGGAGGAGCTCGGCCGAACCCTCAACATAAATGCAGCAGATATTTAGTTTTTTAATGCTTACACACGTAAACAAACATGCATCTGTAACTACCCTGTGGGGAAAAATCTCTAGTTCTGAACTGGTGCGCTTCTAGTACATTTAGACCCAGTACAGGTTAGCGATAAACCTCTTTTGCATGCAAACAACTGGCGAATTTAACATGGCGATGTCCTAGGAAGTGTCAATTGCCCCGCGCTGCATCCCTTTTTCGATAGTTCCTAAATTCTATAGGTCCGAACCAGTTCTAAAATCGACAGACGAAAGAAAAAAGCATCATGATTTTTCAACCTTTCAGTTCTGTCGTGTGCGATTTTAATTTATTTTGAAAGAAATGTGTTTTCAATTTGAAATTAAATTTGTTTGAATGATTGTAAGAAATGTACGTGTACATACCTTTAGCTGTAGCAGAATCTGCAGAGGTGCTCGCTGTTAGATTCCAGACGGTCCCACGATGTTGTAATGTTAACACATATTTTGGTTTTGTATTACCAAGCTATGAAAAAGTATCTGCGAAATGCACAATAGAAGCGTGTTTGAACTAAAAAGTCGCTGAACACATACATATCTATGTAAAGTAAACAAGCCCCCTGCTGCATCCCTTTTTCGATAGTCCCGAACTATTACTAAATTCGACAAATAAGATGTAGTTCGTTCTGCGTCTCTTTTTCTATAGTTCCGAATCAGTTCTAAATTCGTCACTTTAGATATAGATTTCTAGTGAAAAATCTGAAAAAGTAAGTTTTTTAAGAGTACCACTTTTCGCCGATATTGGACTGGTGGGGATCTAGCTCTTATCGGACTAGTTCCTTTTTGGCGAAAAAGACCTAGCACGAAACTAGAAATTTGATTCACTAGTCCGTGGTTTCCCTGCAGGGTACGTGTGCTTAAAGATGCACATACATAAATATATACACAAACATTGCCACATTAAACACTTATTTCGCTCTATTTAACACTTCGCTTTAATTTACATTTAATTGCGTTAAATGTCGCATGAATGAAAAATAATTTTGACTTTTGTTCTTAGTTGAGTGGGTCGTTACATATATATTTTTTTTTAGTGCACTAATACTTAAATGAATATATAATTAAATGAATATCTTTGCTTGTTCGTAGATGAGGGTTAGGTGAAGTTTACGGGCGAACATCCCAATCACCCTATCTAAAATTGTGTCCTTAGTTTCTCCAATGATTTGCAACAACGTCACAATTCCAAATTTAAAAAATGAAAACTTTTACTTACTACTGTAAATGTGTCATGTCCACAATCTTTGTCTAATCCTTGTTACTCACTGTAGTAATCCTCGCTACTTACTTTAGGAAGATTAGACATGGATTAAAAATGGATTAGAGACATGAGCCATTTAAAAGTATGAGTTTTTATTTCTTGAATTAAAAAATCACTACTATGCCTAGGAAGGGTCATTGCAGAAGGTTAGTTTAGGTTAAGATGGTTGCCCGTGTGATACAGCTATGAAATGTTACAGCGAAAATGGATACGTGACGAAAAAGAAATTTTGTAGGCGGTAAATGCTGATCCCACAGAGCGCAATCCGAAGTGTTTAAACCGCAGTCTAGCAGAAGTGTTGCATTTATTCCACCTCGTCGTTCTTCATGCAATTTTGATCCAGTGTGATTTTAAACTCACTGTAAGAACTCCAACCTGACACTGTTCCATCAATACACCCACTAGAATTGAGAGCTGTGATCAAGTGATCCGTAGAGCAAACGTAGATGCTTTGCCTCAATTACGTCTGACTTGTATTTGTATCCGAGCTGCCAAATATATGTAGAAAGCTGCAAACTCGCAACTGGGCCCAATCACGACGTTGTTTTCCTGGGCCTCACCTAAAGTTTCTCTCAGCAGCGTTGGATGCGATTCCATCTCATTGTCGAATATCAGGCAGAGTTTTCCGGCCCTGCCCTCGAAGTTAATTGTCACAATGTCTCTGCTGCTGAAATAAGATGGAATAAAAGCATTTGTTTCATTTTTGAGCGGCACTCAGGCCCGGACTCCACCGGCATCCTTGGCCACCAGCAGCCTCAACTTTATCGTCTTTAGATGATGCTACTGCTAAGCTACAGTTACGGATCCGGGCCGTGTCAGCGCTACCTTTTTCAAGGTAGAGAAAAACAAATAATATAAATATATAAAATATATCCAAATTGATACATTTCAATATTATTTTTCCTCCTAACATCTCAAATTGACCTGGGTATTGTATTTTTTTTTCATTTAAGATGATTTTGAGAGACCCGCACTTACTTGGTCAAATAAAAAATGGCATTCACAATTCTTTGCGTTAACAAAATAAGCCGGAATTAATTAGAAGAGGCAAGCTGGCCAAAACGGATTCTCAATGCAACACTCACAATAGTCCAAGTAGAAAATTGTATGATTTCGTAATGTTCTTTTGCGAATTTGCTGCCGTAAAGAAAATTGCGTTGGCAACAAATGTAAAAACTACACCATGGATTTACAGCATAGGTAACCAATAAGCGAAGGGCAAATAATGCTTATATAAATAGTTCATACAGAGTGACTGAATCGAACAATTTTAAGCTTTATAAAATTAAATGAAAAAAATGGGAAAATTTTCCTAAACGTGAAGGCCGCCACATTGTATATCTTTACAAAATTTGGTATGTCAATTACAAGGTTGGTAATGAAAATGGGCGAAATTGCACTATAACCACGCCTACTTCGCATATAACGGCATTTTCGAAAAATGTCCAACTAAGAAATCTGTTAAAAATCTTTGAAATCGGAAAATAACCACGCCCACCTCCCATATAAAGGTAGTTTACAGAAATCACACACAAATGTGTATCTCGTTAATCAATTTCTAAACACTCTGCGCACTTAATAACTTTGGTACGGAAAAACAATTCGTTGAAAATTATTCAAATCATGGCACCGCTCTCTTCATGACTAGAAAGGTGTATCTCGGTAACCACTTTATCGATTTCTACCAGACGTGGTTCAATTATATCATTAATTCTAACTTGGCATATTGCTGAGAACATGCTTATCATGCAAAGGTGGTTTAGAGAAAGTTGAAATGACGATATTTGATACCTGTGCCGGTTTCACCCGAACTTATACTTCTTTACTTGTTTACTTTAATAAAGGGTTGAATATTTTTTAAACAGTTTTAATAAAAAGCAAAACCTTTTTTTGCCAATTTTTACATTCCTAAGTTATTTTATTCTGCGGACCACAGACGTATTCAAGTAATTGGTGGCTATGTGAAAATTACGTTAGCATTCATAAGTGGTGATCAACCCCCGGAAGGTTGCCACCTTTAAAAACTTATGTGCAAATGATTAAAAAATAAACAAATCAATTACTACAAAATGGGCATCAACCGAAATGGTTTTGAAAATCTTTGTCTCTTAGCTGAATTATAGAAGGGTTGCCACCTGTTTAAAAAATCATATTAGGTAAGAAAAATATGTATCACCATATGTATCACCAAGTAGTAGTTTGAAAATATTTTGAAGACGGTAGCCGCCTGCTGGAAATGTCGAATTTAGTTTACTTAAATATACACAAGTTATATATGAAACATCAAATATGGATGTCAAACGAAGGAGTGTTAAGAAATCTTTAGTTTGAACGCTAGGAATATTTTTGAGGTGTTGAAAGAGGATTGCCACCTGTTTAAGAAGTTAAATTCAAATTATTTAATAAGTTTAATAAACTATTAAAATATGGGTATCAATCGAAGGGAGTTTGAAATACTTTTATTTCTGAACTGTACTTAGTGGGTTGCCACATGTTTAAAAAATCAAATTAAAAAATCAAATCTGTTAATTAAAATATGTATCGCAATGTCAGGGGAAGAAGAGTTAACAAGAATTAAGCTTGAAAATACTTTTGAAGAGGGCTGCCATCTGTTTGAAAGGTCTAACTCAATTAACTAATACAAAAAGTATATTAAATATAAAAATACCGTAATTAAACAAAAAAAATTAAGAGATCTTTAGTTGGACCATTTGGAATGTTTGAAGAGCGTTGCTATGTGTTTAAAAAGATAGATTCAAACTATACATTTATTTAGGAGGGTTGCCATTTGTTCGATCAATCAAATTCAAATTAGTTCTTCAGTATATTGAAATACATGTGTATCACAATGTCAGACGAAGGAGATTTAAGAAGATTTTGGTTTGGGAATACTTTTGAAAGGGAATTTCAAAAATGTGTGGTAAAATTTTTATTTATTTTTTTTTTAATTAAGAACGTTTTTCATCGCTATAGGGTGATTTGAAATTTAATGAAACTAAAAGCATGCACTATGCAAGACTGCTCTTAACTGGAACTCGGATCTCTTTTAACTCTGACAAACATTTGGAGTAATTTTAAGTTTTTGAAATTAAGTTTTGGGCCTTTTACCGCCATGCGTGTTCACTAGTATATGTACCTATATACTTCAGACCTTCTTCTGTTCGCCCATCCATCAGCGCCAGGTATTCAACATTTTAATTCAATTAGGAAGTAACAATATTTAAATATAAAACTAATTCAAGAATGAATTAAATCGAATTATAATCTGAAATGGCGTGGCGAATGCTTAATGTATATTAGGGCGGTCTAAAAATGAATGTGAAAAAGTAAAGTCGAAATTGTAATACTCTCAAAACTGTACCCCTATTTTTTATTTTGAAATCAAAAAATTATTTAGAGGTCGCTCAAAGCGCCCAAAGTTTTCCATGTATTTTATATGGGGAAAAAACAACTTTTCATAGAAATGGTATAGAATTCTTAAAAACCAATATTTTCTATCGGCAAACTATGTTTATCTGCAAAAGATTCCCAGTAATACTACCCAATTGTTTATTTAACCATTTTTTCATCGCAACTATAATTTATAGGTCCGCCAAAAACCCACAAACACAACAAAAAATGCAATAGGAGGACCAACAAAAAATCGTTAGTATTAAAAAATAGTTAAATAAAAGCTTGGTATTATTACTGAAAGCCTCCTGAAAAGAACCAGAGCTTTCTGATCGAAAAATATTGATTTTAATGAATTCTATACCATTTATACTAAAAGTTGTTTTTTCCCCAAATAAAAATACATGGAAAACTTTGAGCCCTTTGAGCGACCTCTAAATATTTTTTGATTTCAAGGTAAAAGAAAATGGGGGTATACTTTTTTCGATATAGAACTATCTCAGGGGGTGAGAGCATTACAATTCCGACTTTACTCTTTTTGGACCACCCTAATGTATATACATTTACGTACATACCCTCAAACTAAAATTAGGTAATCTTATCTTTCAGAGTCTTCTATTGGTTTTAACATTATTTCTCTCTTAATAACCTTCAAAATATATGAAATATTATTTTTTTTCATAAAAGCTTAACGACGTACATTAATTTCCCTTCTCGCGCATTTGCGTACGATAGAGTCACCCTATATTTCTATATAATCATACATTTAGAGCTGTTTATGAAAGGTGGCAACAACATTTAACTTCTTCACAGCACAGCTCTACCCCCCAAATCCAAGTATCGAAATACCGCTTTAGGAGCCTATTACTTTCCTGTTTCGCAGCGCAGCACCGCTGTCCGCATTACTTATTTTTGCAGCTTTAAAATGCGTAATTGGCAATTTTCCTGGCCGATTCTTTTCATGCATCAGCGCTGCTTAATTAAGTTACCAGGTTGCGCGCGTACAACTGCTGTTCACGCCAAAAAGAACGGGTTGGAATTGCCGCGCCACAGACATTGTAATTTTTTTTTTTGCAAATATCTACAAATCCATGTTCCTTTTTTCGCTCGAAGAATGTTAAAATTCCCCACAGAGTAAATGTTGTTTATTTTCGTTGCAGAACAAAATGTTTTTTGTTTTCCGCCACTATTTTCCGCGCCGCGACAGGTACGCGTACAAGCGCCACGTCGATTACCAGCTTGATGATGATAAGTTAGGAGTGGATAGGATAATGGCGTACAACATGTAAAGCTTATTTTACAACAAATTACGTCAATCCAGTTACGCCTGCGCATCCGTTGAACTATGTATGTACCGACAAGCGCTACCTCCGCTTCCTGTCTTCCATAGACACTTTCCTGCGAGCGCTCATCCTCGCTGTTGTACTACGAGTATCAGTGCTGGTTGTATGTATGTATGTGTAAATATAAATTAATGTTTTCTATAGGCATTTTCTACACTTATTTTGTAGGTTTACACTGCATAGTTGTTGTCATTATTGGTGGTGGTGCTGCTGCTGTTGTTGTTTTTGTGACATCGTTTCAGTCGCACGTTGATGACCTGAGGCACTCAATTATGCCACTCAACGACGAAACGGAGCTTGTTACCACGACGGTGGCATGTAGCTACGACGCGTTAACAGCGGCAATGATGGCCTACAAAATACTAGCTAAAAGCCACATAAAATATATACGTATACCAGCTAAATGTTAGGCAATCAAGCAGTGATGCTGTATGTGTGTTTTAGTGAACTAAATAGATGCCCCGTGGCGTTTTGTTGATGGCCGATATGGTAAAAGTCAGCATTTCGGCATTTATATTTCATGCCACAAATTTTATTTAGCTCAATGGGCCTCTCGCTGACTCACGGCAGCTGCGGCTAAATACTATTTGGCAACGTTTGTTAAAGTATTAAAATTGTTGTTGTTTTTTTAATGTTTCGTGCTTTAAACTTCTTGTTTTCGCGTTGTTGTAAACGTTGCAACGGGTAACTGATAGTGATTGGTGTTGCCAAGATTTCACCGAATCCAATTTGGAGATAATTGAGGGGATTACGCCAAAGCGGAGTGATTTTAGCATAACATATACTGTTTTTATGGAAACTTATATAAAAAACTAGCGGTACCCCGGCGTGCTTCTCTACACCAAATATTGAAAAATTAATGAAAAATCCTGCACGCCGTACTTCCTTTTGTTGGGAGTGCTCCTCAACATTTTGCGATCTTCTTTGCGATAACATCATGTTCGCAAGACGCGTACGTCGGCCTATATTTGAACGACTGGATCGTGGCATTTTATTCAATAGCGAACGAAAAACTCAATGCATAGGAACGAATTCGATAAATCGTATGGTAAACTCACTTTTTTTTAAATAATCAAATGAAATTCACAATCGACAGTAAAAGAGCACTTGAAAAAACTTCATTCGAAGCCAAAGAACACAACACAGCCACAATTTTCCCACAATGGTTTTGTTCACTATAAATCAATGAGGAGAAATACCTGCATGGAAAATTTCCAGTGTACTCAAACTTTTCGTACGAAACGCTGCAACAAATTTGTGCAAAAATATTGAAATTGACGAAAAAAATAAAATGAAATATGAATTAAGAACTATATTAAACACACGTGTTGATTTTCGATAATACGATGAAATGACAGATATGTTGTGTTGTGGTGACTTTCATTCCATTGGCTCTACAAAATCCCTATTGAAAAACTTGCAGCCATGTTTATACTTGACTTAATTTATCCGAAGAATAAATAAATACAGCACATTATAGCAAGAATTTTTCACTATGTTTTCGATTTTTCATGTATGTGCTGTTGTACCATATACGTGGTTCATGTGACAGACATAAACTGTCATATATCATGAACCGCTGGACCGACTTCGGGCCCACTTCACATAACCCATCTGCATGATAGTCCGAATATACCGTTTAAATTTGGTAGAATTCGTGCACTTATTTTTTTATTTAAGATGGGAGGTGCCACGCCCCCCTTTCCCAATACCGCACATTTTTCTCCATGAGTATGGAATTATTTCATATGTCTCTATACCAATTTCCAGTAATCTACTACAAATATTTGAAGAGATATACCAGATGAAAAATTTGTTAGTATGGGTGGTGCCACGCCCCCTTTTCCGAATTCGGGGAAACTTAACACAAACCATCTGCATAATAGCCCGACTATGCCGTATAAATTTGGTTGCAATCTTGTACTTATTTTTTATATATAAGATGGGAGGTGCCACGCCCTCTTTTCCAATACCGCCCATTTTTCTCCATGAGTATGGAATTATTTGATATACCTCTATACCAACTTCCAGTACTCTACAACATACAAATTTTAGTTAGTATGGGAGGTGCCACACCCCCTTTTACGAATTCGGGCAAACTTCACATAAAATAACTGCATGATGGCCCGAATAAGCTATATAAATTTCGTTGAAGCCGTTCTCAAGTTATAAGCTAACTCACTAATTTTTATATATAAAATAGAGGCGCCACGCCCCCTTTTCCGAATTCAAGCAAACTTCACGTAAACCATCTGCATGATAGCCCGAATATGCCGGATAAATTTGGTTGAATTCGGTGAAGCCGTTCTCGAGTTATGAGGTCACACCAAAAACGTGCGCTTATTTTTATATATAAGATTGATGAATATTAAACAAACAAAAAGAAAACTGTACATATTGATTATCAATAGGGTATTCAAATGAGGCCATTCAAATGACTGGGTTTCGATTTTACACTTCTGATTTTCTACATTGCGGAAATTCAAAAATCAAAACCAACCATGATTTTTTGGTAAATTAATTCAATCGCATACCATAAGTTGGAATTACATCAACGCAAAAAATGTGGTTTTATGAAATATTTAAGTGCATTCTAGTTTAGTAGAGAAAACTTGACGAACACATTTAAGAGATTTTGACATGAGGACATGATCGGAGATTTTTTTCCCCTTTTTTTGTTTGTTTGTGTAGCACTAATTTGCATTAGGAAAGACAACCCTACACCGATTTATCGAGTACCAAGGTCTGCGGGAAGATCCCTGATATTAAAAATGCTTCCATCTTATCAAACGCATTTGCAAAGGTTTTTATCAAACCAGATTTGGGCCAATCATAGTAGTTAATCGTTTGTGATTCTGCGTACATGTGTAATACATGCACAAAGTAATCTTAAGCGCCACTTTTTTAATAAAACCTGATAAAAAACTTTTACAGTTATGGACTTTCTATAAAACTAGGTCTATAAATTTAACCAATAGCCAATTTCTCTTAGACAGGATAACAATCACAACTTTTAGATGCACATATCGAAACCTCCAAACCAAACTATGCTCAGTCGGATTTAGTCTAAGGTGACTTAACATGGTATGGTTTGGAGGTGTCGATCTGTGATGTAATGTGTCCATTGTGATATTCGGAATCAGGATAAAATTGTACGTTAAGAAACTTTTATTTCATTATTGGTGGCTAAATGTGGTCAAAACTTGTTGAGTAGTGATATTAAAGAATTTTAAAATAACTTTTTAAACAAGTGGTAACCCTCTACAAATATCACAAAAACATTCTAAATGTTCAAATTTAAGATTTCTGAACACTCTTCCTTTTGACAGCCATATTTCTTCAAAACATTTTCAAACTGAAACGTTTTAAATTTCTTTCCCCTGACACACAAATTATGTGTGTGAATTGTGTACCTCATATTTTTAGCTTTGATGACGTTAACAAAAAAATGCCTTCGCGTGTTATATTTATGAGCATATTTCTGCATACTAATTAAAAGTTATTTTAATCTTAATCTCGATCTCGATCTTTATCGTTATCCTAATCNCCTTCGCGTGTTATATTTATGAGCATATTTCTGCATACTAATTAAAAGTTATTTTAATCTTAATCTCGATCTCGATCTTTATCGTTATCCTAATCTTAGTTGTGACCAACCACCATACCTTACCTTCTTCTGTCGTTTAGAAATAGATCCCAATGAGTATATCGCTGCTTCGTTAAATAGATG